GCACAGAGCAAGTGCATCATTAGAGGCGGTCATGCTATGGTACTAGGTCCACACAGAGAGCAATTTATCAGAACTCTCTGCATGGTTCTATATCTTGGGTACTGGCCAGTAGGCTGTCTAACAGTTTGGTGTGCGTGATGCTGGGCTGACACACTCCTTTAATGGACAGATCCTCCCTCTCAAGACTAATTTTTAATATAAAAATCTCTGCAAAGGGGGTGAAGCAAGGATTGTCTATAGAAACTGTCAATTTTCAAACACTGTCTGACCTAAGGTGTATGTACAGTTAGGTCCGGAAATATTTGGACACTGACACAAGTTTTGTTATTATTTTAGCTGCTTACCACAATAAATTCAAGTTACAGTTAATTAATGTATATGGGCCTAAAGTGCAGTCTCTCAGCTTTAATTTGAGGGTATTCACATTCACATTTGTGGAAGGGTTTATAAATTACAGCTCTTTAAGCTGGAACACCCTCTTTTTCAAGTGACCAAACGTAATTGTACAACTGACTCAAAAGCTGTTTTATGGACAGGTGTGGGTTATGTCTTCATCAATTAAACAGGTAAAGAAAAACAAGTGAAAAAGAAAGAAAAGGAGGGGGGTGCTAGAAAAGTAATATCACAATATTATACTTATATCTGTACATCAGTTATTCAATCAGTAGCTTACTGGATCAATCTAAAAAAGATAAACAAAATGTAAATAGCATAATACTGTATAGAGAGACTGTATATCAACAGTATTTGGTATTGGGTCACTCACGATCTGTAGAGCCTTAAATAGCAGGCTCTAACTGTATTTGCTCCTCAAATAATGTCAGGCAGACTGCTTCATCCAGCGAAGTCAGCTTCTAATTCCTCCAAATACTCTTCCAATCACATCACAACTCGGGTAGCCAAGTGGGTAAATATATGAAGAGATTTATTACAATATAAATACAATTAAAACAAAGAATAAAAAAACATATGTTTTATGTATGTTATGTATGTTTTTTATTCTTTGTTTTAATTGTATTTATATTGTAATAAATCTCTTCATATATTTACTCACTTGGCTACCCGAGTTGTGGTGTGATTGGAAGAGTATTTGGAGGAATTAGAAGCTGACTTCGCTGGATGAAGCAGTCTGCCTGACATTATTTGAGGAGCAGATACGGTTAGAGCCTGCTATTTAAGGCTCTACAGATCGTGAGTGACCCAATACCAAATACTGTTTATATACAGTCTCTCTATACAGTATTATGCTATGTACATTTTGTTTATCTTTTTTAGATTGATCCAGTAAGCTACTGATTGAATAACTGATGTACAGATATAAGTATAATATTGTGATATTACTTTTCTAGCACCCCCCTCCTTTTCTTTCTTTTTCACTTGTTGTACTTGTGTAATGCCTTTGGTGATTTTCTTGGCACTTGGGGGTAGTTGCTGTTCTCATTGTCATTTTCACTAATAGCGCCAATCCACCCGTATATATTTCCGTAACAGGAAATATATTTAGTTTATTTAAACAGGTAAAGAGTTGATTTGATGAAGGGCATTCACATTTGGAAGATGTTCCTGTGAACCCATAACATGCGGTCAAAGGAGCTCTCAATGTAAGTGAAACAGGCCATCCTGAGGCTGCAAAAAAAAAAGACCCATCAGAGAGATAGCTAGCATGGGGCAAAATCAATAGTTTGGTACATTCTAAGAAAAAAAGCAGAACGCACTGGTGGATGTCCACGGAAAGCAACAGTGGTGGATGATCGTAAGATCCTTTCCATGGTAAAGAAAAACCCCTTGATCACATACTGTAACTAAACCCCCATTATATTTTTTGCCTAGATTAGGTGTTTTTAATAAAACTGAAAATTGTTCAGCATTAAAATGACTGTTTAGTAGATAAGCGAGTGCGCTGGATTTTCATTTTTACTGTACTTATTGGCCCCCAGCAGCACCCTAATTTAGCATGTGTAGGTGAGTGCAGCCAAACCCTTATTTTCTCATATATGTATATATTTTGGAGTCTAGCCAGCTCCACGGGTTTTGCACCCCTCCCTGTTACAGGTGCCTCATCTCAGGATCCTATTTAAGCATTGTACTGCAGAGACCTCGAGATGGAAGGATTTCCCCAAGTGAGAAGCTCATTTAGCAGACAGAGTAGGACCTGCCAAAGATGGGTACATTGGCGTTGTGGCAGGCTTATGCAATGTATGATCATATACTGTAACTAAACCCCCATTATATTTTTTGCCTAGATTAGGTGTTTTTAATAAAACTGAAAATTGTTCAGCATTAAAATGACTGTTTAGTAGATAAGCGAGTGCGCTGGATTTTCATTTTTACTGTACTTATTGGCCCCCAGCAGCACCCTAATTTAGCATGTGTAGGTGAGTGCAGCCAAACCCTTATTTTCTCATATATGTATATATTTTGGAGTCTAGCCAGCTCCACGGGTTTTGCACCCCTCCCTGTTACAGGTGCCTCATCTCAGGATCCTATTTAAGCATTGTACTGCAGAGACCTCGAGATGGAAGGATTTCCCCAAGTGAGAAGCTCATTTAGCAGACAGAGTAGGACCTGCCAAAGATGGGGTACATTGGCGTTGTGGCAGGCTTATGCAATGTATGATCATATACTGTAACTAAACCCCCATTATATTTTTTGCCTAGATTAGGTGTTTTTAATAAAACTGAAAATTGTTCAGCATTAAAATGACTGTTTAGTAGATAAGCGAGTGCGCTGGATTTTCATTTTTACTGTACTTATTGGCCCCCAGCAGCACCCTAATTTAGCATGTGTAGGTGAGTGCAGCCAAACCCTTATTTTCTCATAAAGAAAAACCCCTTCACATTATCCAGCAAAGTGAAGAACACTCTTGAAGGTAGGCATATCATTACCCAAAATAAATACAACAACAACAAAGTGTATAAAACACAAAGTGTGAGTGTACCCTTCCAAAGAAATACAGATGTATAGTTAATAGGTTTATACTTATATGTATACAAAGGTCGCAAGCAGATCTCCGTAGTGCCTAAAAAACAATAACATAGAACATAGTGTGTACTGTACAAATAAAGTGAGTAATAGATGATAAATGTAGTGTCAGCGCTTAGTAAATATATCTCCCTATTAGAACATTTAGGGATATACAGAAAGCAATTTTGTACAGTAGGAAAACCCTAATAATTAGTCTTGTATACAACTTAAAATATGCAAATAGAATAAAAAATATTGAAAAAGATAATATAATAGTCACTGGGGGGGGGGGAGTGATTGCCCACTCCTCTACCCAGCGGTAACGCAGGCTGTAGGGCAGAGCGCCGCTGGTCTCTGCCCTAATGGTCCCCTTGCCCCCAGGCCGGACTATGCCCTGGTCCCTCCACCTGAAGCGCTGGCATTGGGGCAGAGCGCAGCTGGCCACTGCCCCCCAAGTACCCACAGCTTTTTGCCTAGTTGCACCAGAGAGATCCAGGGTGCTGAACCCCCACTCGGCAACCTGGGACATAACTAACAGAGCCGGGCACCAGGCATCACCAGGTGCAGTAATTGTTTATTGTGGGTGGGTTGCTCGACTAACTCAGGCACTGACCAACAGAAGGTCAGGTACCTGTGACAAACTCCCCTTTTTAAAGGAATTTGCCATGAGTTTTTGGAGGGGCCTGCTTGCCAGCCTCCTACCCTGGGACTATGAGCCCTGGGATAACCCATGTTCAAAAGTACTGCTTCTGCCCCTACTGCGGCGACCATCTTAAATTGTACAGCAGTGTTTTGCCGTTGAGTGTATGGAACTGTTTTGGACATGGGACCTTGTGCACAGTTGGACAAAAATAAGACTTACAGGAAATTCCTGAACCCCTGAACTGATCTGGACGATTTTTGGATATGTTGTTAACCCAGATCGGGGCTATCACTTTTGTGGGGATTTGTTGTATTTTGGGGTTTGTGTACAGTAACTGGGAGTGTTCAAATGTAAAACTCTGTTTTTATTGCATTGTGCATTTCATGTCTTGTGCCCCACAAGGTCCACGTGGGCGGTAACCTTGTGGGGAAATACTGTATAAAAGAAGCAGCTGTACCATTAAACCTTCAGTTCTACTTGACCCTCAACTCGCAGCCTCAACTCGTGTTTGGAGGGGACAGCTATAATCACTACAGGGAGCTCTTCATACTCCCTTGAATAATCCTTGGTAAGCGCTAGGAGCATCCGTCTACAGTCCAACCCTCAGCTAGCCTGGGGCAACTGTAACATCCATCTTCTCTTCCCACCCTTTGAGTTACACTATTAGTAACTTTGGTTACACTATTTCACACTATTTCATTAACCCTATGTCTGTTTTTCTATGATGTTAACCACGTTCACTGTTTGTTTTACTATAAGTATGTCTAACTATTGGGGATTTAATTCTGGGTGTGTTTTTTCCCAGATCTATTTAGTTTGTTAGTTAGGGCCAGGGGGTATGGTTTACATTATTATATTTATATATATTTCATATTATATGTTCATTTACAATATGTATGTTAGTACAGTTTAGTCAAGTTTATGTCTGCATACAGTTTATTTCATTCTAGTAACACTTAATACACTCTCTTTCAGCTTAATTCGAATTTTCTATGGATTCCTGTCTGCTCCTGACTGTCGAACTTGGGATTACTGTTCCTGTATTGGTTTCCTTCTACTACGTTATTATTTCTTCATTTAAATATACTTATGGATGTCGCAGTCTTTCAGAGGAAGTAATGCTTGTCTCTACGCCTCTTATAGTCTCTGCTTATGTTTGATTGGTTCTCTGTTTTCTTATGTTTTTTTCTTTGCTGCTTTGGAGTGAGTAAAGAAAGATAATGCAAAATTTTCCCCTCCTGTCCTTATTATCCTGTCCTAATATAAATTAAGATTATTAGTACACTAAAGCTAGCATAATCTTCAATTGTCCTTGAATTCACTATAAATTCTCACTTTCGTGAATAACCCTATATATCTTTATAAATTAAGAAGTGACAGAGCCAATAAAGGGAATTTAGTGAGATAGTATGACAAACGTCCTTCCCATGTATGTTTGCCACAGACTTCTGGAGGAGTGTGGAAGCCGGCCTCCTACCCTCCAACAATGGTCCAGGTCTAAGACACTGTTTGGGAGTTACCCTGCCCAGCACCATTAGTAGCTTGCCCTGGGTGCCACTTTCCCTTCATGCAAATGGAACCGAACGCTGGCCGCCATTCTTATGAACCAAAGCCACGAATAGTCCTCAGCAATACTTAGCCGCGACCGCCATGGAACAAATTTCGGCATAAGGACTTTGTGGGTTCCTGGTCACATCAGCAGGACTTAGCCGTGAATGCTATGCAACTGTTTTCGGGATGAGGGGACCGTATGGTTCCGGGACAACTTGATTCGCGGTTTTGAACCACTTTGAAATCCGCCAAGAGAACGCTTTTTGGAGGGAAAGTGTCTGAGACTAAGTGGAATAAATGGTACCTAAGAACCAGGCGGAGCACCCTGGCCACAGTTGACCGGCAAAAGCACCAAACGTCCTGGAACTATTTTGGGCATAAGACCACGTGTGCGGCCAGTCAGGTAAGCCAATTATCTCCCAGGAACAGAGAGCCAAACACAAAAATATAAAAACATAAGTACCCCAAAACATAAAAAAAACATTAAATAACCCCACAAATAATACATCCTCAAATAGCCTTTATCTGTCCGCCTAAGTTCTCCAAATAGTGCTTAGATCCATGCAGTGTAGGGGAAACGCCACCGTGTTAAAGTTCTTATCATATATATTGTTAGCAGTTGTCTTAGAGTCTTTTAGTCTTCTTTGTATATTATGTGACTTATTGATTACTTCATCTATCATTGCAAAATACTTATTTGTTTCTTTCCCCTATTCTACTATGTATATCCAGACTATGTTTTAAGTTCATTTGCCCGCATTCAACATGGGACTGTATTGAACGTGCCCTCACTTCAATGAACGAGGTACCGGAAGTGACGTAATCACTTCACGTAAACGGGCGCAATGTGATGACGCGGATATGCCGTGCCGGAAATAGGAAGCTACACAGCTGGGAAAGCTTGAAGAACAATTCAGAAGGGTATTTATAATCACGGAGGAGAGAGCACTACAGCACTGAAGAAGACTCCAGCTGGAGTTGAAACGTGTCTGCTGCTAGACTTTTATGTATTGTATTTGGGACTTTTTTATTTGCCTTGCAGTGTTTACTTAGGCTTTGTACCCAGTATACTTATTATATTCACACTGCTTATTGTCCCTAATTTTATTTGTTTAATAATAAATTTTTGGATTCATTATTTTGTATCCTGTGCTGTTCTCCTCAAGGATATTGTTTTAGCCTTATTAGGCACCCTCCTGCATACCATATAGAGCCTGGGACGGCTCTACATCCTGTGAGTTTTATCCTATATAGGGGTCTACTGAATATATACACAGTTTGCACTATGTTGTTTTATTTGTGTCTTTTAGATTGATCCTGATATTTACATTATGTTGACTGGTGCAGTATTTGTTTTATTGCCTTATGTTTTTTGATGTTTGAAATTATTGTAGATTTTTCTGTACCTGAGAGATAATTAAGTTATAGAGTTTTCTCATGCAATTATCTCTCAGGCACAGAGGATCTTGGAAGAAAAAAACCCTGTAATTTTGTGTGAGAGACCCCATGTAGGGGTCAGTGCATAAAAAGATGTGTGTGACCAAATAAACTCTGTTGAGATTTTTTACAGCTTATTTCACTATGACCTCCATATTAATGAAAGGGAGGTTAAATCCTCCCACAAGCCCCTACTCGCGGAATGTCATCTAAACAGCAAGCAGTGGCTTATAGTGACTCACTAGTGCAATAACGGGGGATCGGTACATGGTAGGGAACCTAAGTAACTAAAATGGGGGGGACACAGGATCCCCCCAGCGCCCCCAACTGTGACCCGAAGGTGGGGGCTATTAATATAAACGGTGGGACCTAGTGTTCCCCCCAGACCACCCTGTGACACAGACTGACCTAACCCACACAGACTGACCCACCCACACACACAGACTGACCCACCCCACACAGACTGACCAATACACACAAACTTTACCCTACACACAAAATGACCCCCACACACAGACTGACCCTCACACAGACTGATCCCCCACCCCCAAACTGACCCCCCACACACACACAGACTGAACCACACACACTGACTCACACTTACCAGCAGCTGCCTAGATGCCTCTGTGCAGAGCTGATCTTCCTCTCCCTGTCTCTCCCCTGTGCTGCTCTCTATGACCCAGGAGGAAGTCCTCACAGCACAGTGCCCACTCTGGCCACTTGTGGGAAAAGTGTGGAATACAGTTCCACAGTGACAGCGCTGCTGCAGCTTGTGAACAGAGACTCTGTGCAACTTTGTAGCGGAGAGCTGCTCTTAGCTTATCTCCACTTTAGATCCCATTAAGGCTCAGGAACAAGTATTATAAATCCAGAAGGTAATATTTCAAGCAGGCAAAACACTCCAACAATATCCCAATCTCAATCCCAATGACTGGACGACACACAGCATCAGGAGCAGAACTGAACTTTTAATCACATCGTTTCCTTATAAAGGTTTCTCCCATGCAAGGGAGGGATTTACAATAATTGGGACAGTAGCCAATGGTACAGTAGTTACCTCCCATACATCTCCTCCCCTCAATGTGACACTTAATCCACTTATCTCTGTTACAGTTTTACCCGGTTTCTGGATATACCCTAAAACTGTGGGGTACAAGGGTCTAACTGGTAGCCCTGATCTGGGTGGCTAACATACTCAAAATTCACCTAGATTGGACCAGGGGTTCGGGAGTTATGGGGAATAAACAATTTGACCGACCGCACACGAGGTGGTAGCCGAAAAGGGTTCCATGTGTTTTGGCCCTGCGGTCGGTCTTTGTTCGGGAGGTAAAGCATACATAAATCTTTGCCATCCACTATTAACAACGCATTTGTGTGATTCCCCTTGTTCGGTACGTTGAATTCACCGAACGAGGGGCTAATTGGCCCCTCCATTCGGGAGTTACGGAGCACTGGAGGTCTCAGCGGTGTTCGGGTAATCGAGTGTCCGATTTGAGTTCCAGACACTTGACGACCAAACACCGCTGAGAGTTTGTGCGTAAGATGGCTGCCGCCACGTGTTCACTTACCAAATGGCGGCCACTCAGATATAGCAATAAAGCACCGATTGACTGCGGTTAGAGAAGTGTGAAAGCCTAATAAGGTACACACTTCTCTCTGGGATGGTCTATTGATTCGGTAGTTTTCATTCGTATGAAATACGGATGAAAACTACCGAACAAACATATGAATCCTACATACAATTTTAATTACAAAGGAAAATAAACCCGCAAATTGTCTTTTAAGTATAACCCTGGAGGACAGTCCAGTGCCATCCGCTACACTTCAATTTCAATTGCATGATGCATGGCCCCCTCTGCCCCCCTCCCCCACCCTCAGCGACACCACTGTGTTGCAGGGAGATCCATTTTTTTTGTTTCTCCTCAGTGCTGTGAAGGTTAATTCTTCTGCAGCAAGGAGTCTATTAAATGAAAGAACTGAAACGAAAAGGTAATGCATTTGTCATTTGTCCTCTCATTTCGTATACAATTCGTATGTAGGACTTTCGTTTATGTTATAGCAAACAAGTACGAAAAAGTCTGAAAATTTGGACAAGATCATATTAGTCCTATAACGAAGGCACATGTCTAGAAAGAAAGTTGCAAAGTTTACTTTTAGATTGACATGAAATATGTATTGATTTACACTTATTATCAGACATCACTTTTTGTATATTATATTAGGATATTTATATTCCCTGTATCTGAAGATCAGTGATCCTCAGTGGGGAAATCATAATGGGTGATGTCATGTTGTGATGTCATAAACATAGCTGCTGCTATAACTGCTTGGATATTCTATTTTCTCCCATAGTATCTGAGGCTCAGTCAGAGCTTCACCTTCATCAGTAGTTCTCACATCATGTCAATGGCATAGAGATCCATGGCTCAACTGTATGTGTCTGAGGACTTGGAACATGATTAGCACCACCTAAGACTGAGCAATGGAGGTTATAGCAGGAGTGTATAGCTTTGTGTAAGTAGTTGTAAACTCTTTAGCTCTTTTTTTTTTTTTTATGGAGATGAACATATTTTAAGCTCTGCAATTGGTGATGGAAGTTGTGCTCTGTGTCCAGAACAAAAGAAATTTACAGGCACACCAATATTCAACAAGGCAAATTTGTTGGAACAAAGTTTTCAGCAACGATTCAATCCTACAATGGGTATTATGTATTCTGAAAATAAGGACAAATCAATGAATTTATTTTGAATTACTTTTTTTAAACTGCACTTATATGCACACATTATTATTTCCAAAACTGTGATTTTTTTTTTATTCTGTACTTCCAAGAGTGGGGATAATTCCATTCCATGCTACTTACTATGAGGAATCAGAAGGCTCCTAAAAATGTGTGTGTGCATGTGGCGAAACCAACCTCACCACTGGGCATTGGAGAAGCCTGGTTGCTGGCCTGCTCCCTTTAGACTATGGACCCATGTTAAAACACTTGATTTTCCCCTGCAGAAAGGCTTGCTCATGCCTTTCTGCCTGGGCATTCAGTAGATTGAATCTACCGAACAAACTACCGAACGATCGACCACCTGGGAACTAGAGTGTGCCATCAATTGACCTCCCAGGAGCTGCGGTTAACCGCTGCTTAATTGGTGAACGCTGGGAGGTTGCTGTTCGTGTAGCTCACACGTGGCGACGGCCATTTTAAAGTCCCGAACGGCAAGCCGTGTTCAGTGCCCAAACTATGGAACTGGAAACAGACACTTATTTGCGCGAACACCGCTGAGCCGTCAGCCTCCTTGCTTCTGCATTCGGTCATTTCACTCACTGTCTATTCATTCAGTAGTTTAACCGTATGAACAGCATTACCCCAGATAGCCATGCCATGGAGCCTATTTGTGTAACGAAAGACTATGGGAAAGACTTTGGCTCCATGGCGATTGAACTGTATGTATGTGATCTGAGCGCCATTCGGTAATAATGTGTGCTCAGATCTAAGCTATCTGGGGATAGGTTGAACATGCATATTTCCTTCAGTAATTTTTATATTATGTATTTTTATGTCTTTTACTGTCTTTTTACTGCCATGTGGTTAATGGAGTTTTGCCCTGTCCTTGGAGATAATTGGATTACTTCCCAATTATCTCCAGGATAGAGAGGAGGGATTGTGATGTCATTGTGGGAGTGTTTGACTGTGTATGTATGTGATTGGCTACTGTATCCTTTTGGTCACAGTCTTCCATCTGGTCCCCTAGGGGAGTGTCCACCAGGTGGGAGACCTGCATAAATACCGGGCAGGTAGCCCTCATTAAACCAGACCACTGCTTGACCCTCAACATGGAGCCTTGTCTTTTACTGAATGCTGCTTCAGACCGATTGTCAGGAGTGTAAACTGTTCGTATGGTTTTTCCTGTTCACCTGTTTGCAGTATTTGTATGGTTTCAGTTTGGGAGTTTGAAGCATTCGTGTGTTTCCAGTTCAGGAGATTGGTGTTCTGCAGTAGCTGCCTGTATATCTGGAAGGGAATATTCTCTAAATGGTGTTTAACACCTTTTATGCCTGGGGGTGCCGTTACAGTGCACTTTTATACAGAGCCACCTCACCCAGTATAACTACAATACTACACAATATTTGTATCTTCTGTTTCTCTTAAATACTCCATAGACAGTGATTCTAATGCCCAGGTTTTCTAACTTGGAGCTAAATATTAGCTCTATATACTATACGTGCATTTCTTTTATTTTTTTTCTTCTACCAATAAGTGACATACTACACTATATTCTACTCATTGTCCTCTCTTCCTGTTGCATATACCTGTATTTGAGCACTTTTACAAAGCACTACTTCTTTTTTTCTGCATACAATTTACTCATGACCAGAAAAGGAGAGACTCTGGTTTGGGTTGTACGAGCTGCCTTTCCTCTTACATAACAAGTGCCAGACGTCTACCCAGGGCTGATCCTAGGGTCACAGACACCAGGGGCAGACATTTTTTGGGTGCCCCATGTGGGTGTGGTCCTCTTACTAAA